CCAGATCCATATTCTTGCTAATGATTGTACTTATCATAATGATTTGATTTAGTCCAATGGTTCCCAACGGGATGGGCCCCTTTCAGGAATTCCAGATCTATTATCTAATCCAATGATTCTCATGGTTCATAATCATGCTAAGTATTCTAATTATTCTCAAAGGGACGGGTGTTTTCTGGGGAGTTGAACGTCAATCGCTTGGTACTTATTCTATTTCTCAACGTGGGTCGAATTAGCCTAATTACACGAATCTTTGAGAATCGTGTCAATATTTGGAAAACAGCACCTTATTTTGTCTAACTATTATAAACCAACATGATTTGAACAACTAGTCTACTTAGAATATGTCTTATAAAACAACATGCTTTCTACTCGAATATGTTCAAAGGGACGGGCGCCTTTTGGAGAACTCCAGATTCATTTGTGTCCAACGTCCTAAATAGTTAGAACAAATGAACATGTTTGGGTAACTAAGTATTTAGATATTTCACACAATTTAAACAATTTCAAGGGCACCCCCTGGGCTAGTTCCGAAAATAAATTTTCCTAATGAAAAAGTTCAAATAATTCCAAAATGCGAACTGCTTATTTTGATCAAATGTTGGAGGTCCTGAACAACATATCTGTTCAAATAATCCAAGTTATGTCCAGGGCCCTTCCTGGGCCCATTATAGAATATTTAAAGAATCTGGGTGTCTCGAATTCAAACAATTCGAAATTATGGAATGTACAAATGTGTTTCTTAGCGCATTATTTGTTGGAGGCTCGGAACAAAAACGTTTAAGTTATTTAGATAGTTCTATGAATTTGACTACGTGTGCTATTCAATTTGTTGGAGCCCTGAAAAAGACATATCCTGGGCCCTCCCTGGGCCCGTGCGGAATACTCAAAGAAGATAAACCTTCAATCCTTTTGGCGGCCCCTGAGAAAGCATTATAAAAATGTTTTTGTTCAAATTCTGGAGGCATTCTTTTTAAAATATGAAAATTGAATCATTTCTAGGGTTCTCCCTGGGCCAGTTTCATTCTGTTTAAACTACCTAAAAAATCAGATAATTTAAGTATTTTTTTTAAATTTCTGGAGGCCTCCAAAAACCAACAAAAAATCCAGGGTTCTCCCTGGGCCAGTTCCAGGATATTTAAAAAATGGTTTAAACATGTCAAATAATCTAAAATTATTTATGTTCTAATTTTTAAATTTCTGGAGGCCTCCATTTTTTGTACAAAAACAATAATTAAATTCCAGGGTTCTCCCTGGCCAGTTCCCGGATATTTAAAAAATATAGAGTTTGTTTTTGTAGTTATTTGTTCTTAAATTTGTAGAGGCGTCTAAAAAAAAGTTTTCCCTGGCCAGTTCCCGGATATTCAGCAAGCTTGAAAAAATAACAAGCAAACCAATAAACATTCATTTATTAAAATGTCTTAACTTTCTGGAGGCCTCCATTTTTTATTTTTTTGAGTAATATCCCGGGTTCTCCCTGGGCCAGTTCCAGGATATTGGAAAAAGTTGAAAAACATGAATAATTTGAATAATTAAAAAGATAATAAGTCTTTACATTTAATATATATTCTTTTAATTTCTGGAGGCCTCCAAAAAAATGAAAAAATAGTTTCCCGGGTTCTCTCTGGGCCAGTTCCGGGATATTTAAAAAAAGCAAAAAATCAAAACAAATAAAGAATTCAAATCATTTAAATATTGTTTTAAAAACAAAAATCTGGAGGCCTCCAAAAATTTCAAATTAAAAAATATAAATAGTTTCCCGGGTTCTCTCTGGGCCAGTTCCAGGATATTTAAAAAAATTGAAAAAATCAAATAATTTCAATAGTTCAAAAAAAAACAATCTGGAGGCCTCCAAAAAAAAGTTTCCCGGGTTCTCTCTGGGCCAGTTCCAGGATATGTAAAAAAAATCAATATTTTAAAAAAAAAAGAAAAAGAAATTCAAATAATTTAAATATTTATATTGTTTAATTCTATTGAAATATCTGGAGGCCTCCAAACAATTTTAAAAAATATAAATAGTTTCCCGGGTTCTCTCTGGGCCAGTTCCAGGATAATTGAAAAATTTAAAAAAATCAAATAATTTAAAAAATTCAAATAATTTAAATATTTATTTTTTATTTTTTTTAAATTTCTGGAGGCCTCCAAAAATTTGAAAAATTAAAAAAAATCAATTAGTTGAAACAATTCAAATAATTTAAATATTTATATTTTTTAAATTATTTAAATTGTTGGAGGCCTCCAGAAATGAAAAAAAAATAAACAAAAAATCAAATAATTTAAAAAAATCAAATAATTTAAATATTTATATTTTTTTCAATTTTTTAAATTTCTGGAGGCCTCCAAAATTTAAAAAAATAAAAATAAAAAAAAACTAAATAGTTTCCTGGGTTCTCCCTGGGCCAGTTCCAGGATATTTAAAAAAATTAAAAAATTCAAATAATTTAAAAAAATCAAATAATTTAAATATTTATATTCTTTAAATTTTTTAAATTTCTGGAGGCCTCCAAAAAATTAAAAAATTTAAAACATATAAATAGTTTCCTGGGTTCTCCCTGGGCCAGTTCCAGGATATTTAAAAAATTTAAAAAATTCAAATAATTTAAAAAATTCAAATAATTTAAATATTTATATTCTTTAAATTTTTTAAATTTCTGGAGTTTTTTAAATTATTTGAATTTTTTAAATTTTTTGAATATCCTGGAACTGGCCCAGGGAGAACCCAGGAAACTATTTATATTTTTTAAATTATTTAAATTTTTGGAGGCCTCCAGAAATTTAAAAAATTTAAAAAATATAAATATTTAAATTAATTGAATTTTTTAAATTATTTGAATTTTTTAAATTTTTTGAATATCCTGGAACTGGCCCAGGGAGAACCCAGGAAACTATTTATATTTTTTAAATTTTTAAATTTTTGGAGGCCTCCAGATTAATTTTTTTAAATTTTTTGAAAAATTTCCTGGAAAAACTGGCCCAGGGAGATTTAAATTATTTGATTTTTTTTTTAAATTATTTGATTTTTTTTAAATTTTTTAAATATTTTTGGAACTTGGCCCAGGGAGAACCAGGAAATATTTATATTTTTTTTTTTTTTAAATTTTTGGAGGCCTCCAAAATTAAAAAAATTAAAAAATAAGAAATATTTAAATTAATTTGATTTTTTAATTATTTGAATTTTTAATTTTTTGAAATCCTGGAACTGGCCCAGGGAGAACCCACGAAAAATATTTAATTTTTTTTAAATTTTATTTTTTGGAGGCCTCCAGAATTTAAAAAAATTAAAATATAAATATTTAATTATTTTTGAATTTTTTATTTTTTAAATTTTTTAATATCCGGAACTGGCCCAGGGAGAACCCAGGAAACTATTTATATTTTTTAAATTTTTTTAAATTTTTAGGAGGCCTCCAGAAATTTAAAAAATTTAAAAAATATAAATATTTAAATTAATTGATTTTTTTAAATTATTTGAATTTTTTAAATTTTTTAAATATCCTGGAACTGGCCCAGGGAGAACCCAGGAAACTATTTAGATTTTTTAATTTTTTAAATTTTTGGAGGCCTCCAGAAATTTAAAAAATTTAAAAAATATAAATATTTAAATTATTTGAATTTTTTAAAATTATTTGAATTTTTGATTTTTTTTAAATATCCTGGATTTTTTTTGATTTATTTATTTATCTATTTATTTATTTATTTTAATATCCTGGAACTGGCCCAGGGAGAACCCGGGAAACTATTATTCAGGGCCTTGGGCGACACATAGGCCCAATTCTTCCCTCTTACCCAGGGGGGGGAGGGAAAGGGGGGGGGGAGGGGGGGGGGGGAGTGGGTGAGGGGAGGGGGGGATGGGGGAGGGGGGGAGGGGGGAGGGGAGGAAATCCAGAATCCAGAAATCCAGAGATCCAGAAATCCAGAGATCCAGACATCCAGAAATCCAGAAATCCAGAAATCCAGCCGACGTAGAAACCAGCCCCAAGGGCCGCCCCAAGGGACATATAGGTTATATATATATATATCTACATAATCATATTCACATTAAACTTATAGAAGGCATATCAACAAAAGCAACACAGAACACACCGCCCCCATGCCGAAAGCATGGTCCATTCTGGACCAGGCATGGGGTCGGCGGATTTCCAGCATACCTGCATGCTGAAAGGCTTTGGGACCGTTGCATTCAATAAGATTAACACAGCGCGTAGGAGCTTTGTCTTTCAAGATTCGCAATTTCAGGAAACTTTAACGAAGCGTGCAAAACAGGAGAGTCCTCGCTTACATCAAGGCTACACGCTACGCAACGACACCGACGCCAACGTCTTCTGCACACAAGAGGTTGACTACCTGAACACTGAAAGGTGCTGAAAGCCACAATGCCGACGATGTTTCGAAGCAAACTGTCTGAGATCAAGGAGATTGTCGACCAAAAACAGCCAAGAGGTCGTCCAAGACCACACCTGTCGTAGAAGGTGCCCGCACCAAACCAACATCAATGCCACAACGCGAGCAGTATCAACGGACAACGGTCGCATCCTAGAACTGCAACCAAAACCACCGAGTTTCCAAAGCAATCCAACGCATGCAACTTCAGACAAGTGAAGTGTCACCAGCTTCCAAAAAGGGATGATGTTGGGGATGTGTTTGAGTAGTCGTGTGTGTGTGTGTGACTTGTTGGTGACCAGAAGAACTCAGTCCAAAGCCCATTTGCCACGCGCCCCAGAGCTCAACATGGCCCAAAGCAAAGACGCGCCCAAAGGCGTGCCAAAACGGCAGATCCCAAGCCGAACCAGCACAAGCTGAACAAAGGGCAAAACAGTCTGTTAGGCCCCACCTTGATGCAGAGGATGCAGAACCTGCCCCATTCCGGGTTCAAGAGAGCCCCTACCATCTATACACAGGCCTGACTAGCGTCGGCAGATTGATTGAGAGCATGTAGCCGCAACATCAAAGCAGCTCTTCGCCAGCAACTTGTAGTTCTCGTGCAGCCCGCATCTCGGAAGGCGTTGGAAGTGGCGGTGAAAGAGCGAGTTTTTCATCCGGGTGATTCACTGCTCGTCGAGGGAGTTCACTGCAGCGAGGCGCTGAAAGTCGGAAAGCGACAAAACTGGAGGTTGATGACATGGATCATGGCTTGTCCTTGGCGGTTGGTGCGTGCTTACCGGCCACAGGGTGTGAAGAAGGCCAAGTAGGCTGTTGTTCTTGATGGGACACACAGTACTAGCGAGACAATGGTGGCCTACGCCAGAGAAAAGGCAAGTGTCACTGCAGGCGGTGATGCTATGCCGCGGAACTGTCAACATTCTGACAAAGGAGGTCAAGGTTGCAACTCGTCCTTGCAATGAGTTCTGTGGGGAGACATCAGGCATGTGCCCTGACCACTATCCGACGATCTATTGCATCAGGACCCACCACCCTGCATGTAACAGGTCAGTGGAAGGTGGCACAAAGGATGGGCACTGCGTTTGTACGTTTCCACCACTTCTGTCATCAGGGCAATCGCGAAGGTGGCCTTCTAGTTTTCAGTGTGCAAAGCCATCACCAAGCCAACGCTATGTTGATCGAGTGTTCCATTTTGCTCGCCAACACAAATATGTAAACGATGTGTTTGGGCTGGCTGATAAGCGTCAGAAAGCACGGCAAGGAACATTTGCCGGGGATTGCCAAGGGGTATTGTAAAGCCAAGACCAAGCCCTCACTCTTGATCCAAGGCATCCCTCACTGTGGCGTCGCTTTGGCCAGCTTGCCTGCGACTGGAGTGTTTGCAGCAGGGCGGTGGCGGCATTCTCAATGAAACTTTCTTGCAGAATCTGAGACTGAGCGGCATTAAAAGAAGGGCATCCAATTCATCTGTGAGAGAGGAAAGAGTTGGATTTTGGATGTATCTCAATGCTTGTCAGGGTGAGAGTCTGCTTCTGTTGAGCTGGTAAGTACGCACCGCCAAGATTGCCTTGGGAGTTCTTTGGTGTTGGCGAAGGAAATGTTCAGAGCCCCTCTTAACTACTTGCTACCACAGTTGCCAGTGCAACAAGTGAAGCTAGGTGCACAATGATCTTGCCATGCCTGCCTGAGTTCTAAAATCGTACGTACACGGTATGTGAAAGGTCTTACATGCTGTTGCCTACACCGAACATGTCGAACGTTCACTAAATATAAAGAGGGCAGAAACTGATGGCAGGGAGATGCCGGACGCCATGATCTTTGGGGAGTTCACTCTCTTGGGGCTGTGGCCCTTCCCACGGGCTACCATTGCCGCGGAGACTCAGTGCCTTGTCCAGGCCAGGGAAGGAGGCCCTGATTGCCTGATGTTGCGGCCAGTGCAAATGAAGTGCAGCGCGTTAAGGGACCGGAGATGGCTCCACAGATTGGATGTATTTGCTGCAATCGACGTGTCACACCTCGCTGAGGCGGAGGTAAATGAACGAATGAAGCGGCCACTACACAGCAGAAACACTGAAACGCCATCCTGAGATATCAAGTTGCCATGACTGTCGTACTGTGGAATGGTGATGTCCCCCAGATTGTTCCCAGGCTGACCGGTGGTTTGCCGAGTGGTAGTCCGGCTGCAGATTGCAGACCTCCCAGCCTGCCAATCCTTACGCCAAATCACCGTGAAATCCTGCAGGTCATTCAGGCGGACGCACTACGACGTTGCCTTGACAAGTATCCTGGTGCCAACCGCAGTTACATTATTTGCCTGCACATACTGCATTGCCCACAGGACAGGTGGCTTCTTTTAAAAATTGCGACCAGACTCATTTGCCCACGGCAGATGAGTCGTTCATCTTCAGGGAGTTGGTCGAAGCACGGTTGAACAAGATCTATGAGCAGGACCCGCATATGCGACAATTGGGCAAGTTGGTCAACAAATAAAATGTCCATGGCCTGCACGTGCAGCCGAGCAATTGAAATGCACCGGTCTCCTCAGAGTGATGCTTTTGTGCTTCCGCACTCTTCGCCTGTGTGATTGCCAGCGTGTTTGTTGCAGTTCTTTCAGCGTGATCGTGCTATGTGTGTTTCCACATAAGCTTTGGACTTGAATATCCTCAACTAGAGTTGAGCATTGCAGGACAACTGATGGCTTGTTTAGCGAAGGGTGAACTCAAGCAAGGGAGATCCGCCGCTCAGTCAAGAGATGCGGATTGATGTGCGGCTGGGAGAAAACCCGACGGCAGCTGTGTAACGCTTCACATTGTCTCCGGCAGACAAGCCCCTTTGTAAACTAAAGCCCCAGAACCCAGCGCCAGCAGTCAACTGGAGATGTAGATGGAATTGATTTGCTTTTGTGCGGCATCCTGAAATGCTACTGCCTATATTGATGTGGGGCCGATGTGGGGTGTTGCAACTGCAGCCAGCCTTGCTGTGAGCAGGAAGATCTGGCGCGCTCACTGACAACAGGCTCGCCTGTGAAAAGAGCGTGAAGACCATGAAGTGTCATGGAGCCAAGCCCTGCTGCTTTGGCATGCTGTCATGATTCCCTGCATGCAGTGCAACACGTTGAGCGTGTCTTGCCGCTTGTTATTGGTGACGTTGCCCCCTGACAGACAACTGTTTTACTTGTTTGGGAGCTACAGCAGGTAGAGTTGCACGCAAGCACATGCCACCGTATCTTTGCGCTCGTCGCTCAACAGAACCTTTGGCTGTGTGTAAAAGCTTGGCACCAAATGTTGATGTCCGTCATTCAAGGGAAGCCCGCAGTAAAAAGCCATGGCACCACATGTTTTGATGTCCTTGCATTGGTGTAAACACCTGACACCACGAAGCAGCTTCCCACGCGGTTTGGCTGTCACAAGGTGGTTGAGGTATGTGAGGTCATGACTGCACTTGCATCAGCGTAGTTGCGATGATGTGATTCGTTGAGTTGAGAGGGCTTTGTCGGGTTTTGCCCCATTCGAAAAAGTTGCCGTGTGGGCTGCACGAAATGCTCATACTCAACTTGCACATTCTCAGTGCTTGACTTAATCATACACCTGACAAGCACATTGGTGTTCGAGCAATACCTTTCATCAGGATTCATGTTTCGGGCGAAACAGCACGGTCGGTTTGCAGACGCCTTAGCATTGTTGGTTGTTGTACACACCGTAGTTCGGTCAGGTGATGCAAGCAAAGACCAGGAGAGCAAGTGGGGCGTTGGGTGTCTTTGTTTTTTTGGGATGCTTGATGCTGGAGGCTGTGTGCCAAGAGCGTTGCACCAATGCAATGTTTAGTGGGATCAGCTCAGCCGCACTGATGTTTGTCTGATGAGTTGAGTCTGTCTAATGAAGCGTCACTTTGAAGCTGAAATCAGGCTCATCCTGTATGTATTTATTCAGTCAGCCCATGGAGGCGAATTGCTCCACACTGTATCGAAAACGCAGGACAAGGCATCCCGTGAGGGTAGAGGCTGGCAGAGTGCGCAACAGGCTTGTAATTTGAAGGGCAGGAGTGGGTTGCAGGAGCGTCCGCGCAAGTCAAACATGAGGCTGCGCATTTAAAGCGCAAGTGAAGCGCAAGTGACGCAGTGATGATTCATCATCATCATCATCATCATCATCATCATCAGCACTATGGCCCAAAGATTAACAAGTTTTCGCGCAAGTCACGCGCAAGCCGCTCGCAGCCCGCAGATGCCACCAAACTGCCTGGAGCAGGAGTGGCCCATTTCTGGATTTTGCATTTTCTTTTTTCTGCACGATCCCAGCAATTTTGCCGAGTGAATTTGTTAGGATAAAATGTGCAGCGGTGTATTGACATGAGACCTCATACACTTAAAAGGGCATGCTATTGGGGGACCTCATGCTTATGAAGACTGCCGCTTGGATTTGCAATGAAAACAACTTGTTTAATACGGGTGTCTTTTTCCAGCTCAACGTGGTCAGATGGCTATTCTTGCATATTTGTGCGTGGCCAAATCGTCACTGCCCTGCAAGTTGTGGAGAAGGTTTACACGGTGTATCATGTTACCATGAGGGTGGAATGTTGTTGCATTCCACCTGCCAGGCCCGGATGAGGGCGATTCGAACAACGAGGATTGCCACTGCTGGGTGCAGAGTCCTTTGTTGAAGGGGAATAGTCAATGACACTTCTACTGCAGATGAGATGTTTCTCAACTGTCGATACTCCAATAACGGAAGACCCACGGCAATCAGGGCGCGACTATGGCTGCTGAGTTGGCATTGTGAGCGAGACCTGCACTCACTGCACTCCACCTCAAAAGTCCTCGTGCAAGGAGGCAAAATCTGAGCAAGCAAGGCCATGCGATGCTATCATCACTAATTGTGGCAAGCACGATTGCAGATATTGGTTCAAGTCTTGCTAGCACGTGTGGTGAGGCCTGAGAAGAGGCGCCAAATCCCGCAAGGCCTTCGTGAGGCACTGCACAACATGGCAGTGTTTGAGTTTGAACTCAGAGCTTTGTTTGCAAATGATCTCAGAGCGAGGTTCAGGGCTTCCAGTTCTCCCCGAAGTGCTTGCGCGAGCTTGAGCAGAAGCCCCAGGAACCCATGGTGTCATGTGGTGTCCAAAAATAGGCAGCTCCAGGGCTTCAGGGGCCAGGCGTGTGCCCTCGGCTTGTGCATCGCGTCTTTGAACTTTGCCAGACCAGCTGGAGCCAAAATGGGGGTGATAATCAGCGTGGCCTCGGGCGGATGTTGCAGTCTTGCTTCATGCTTTCTTCAAGCCTCAATCATTTGGCGAGGTCGTATCTCCACAAGCGGCTGTTCATTCCAGATCAGGACAGTACTGCATAGCTTTGCACAGCATCGAGCAGCTGCAGTTGGGCCCAGCATTTCTCCCCCACGCACGGGATACGCAGGTCATTATGCAGCAAGGCACAGACCTGCAGGACGTGTGCGCCAATTCAATTAGGTTTAAAGGATGTTATTCTCAGTGGCATTCATCAGCCTTTGCCATTGGGCAAGGTCCAAGGCCAGACGTTGACTAGCGCACGCGAGGTACGTACTACAACAAGGCAATTGTGAATCTCTCATCTTCAACATGGTCTTCGAGATATTTGACAGTGCGCCACAGCAGAATGTGCTTTGTTAACGACCAGGAGTTCCAATTCGTCCAGCCAACCAAAATGAGAAAGAATGGGGATGCACATCGACAACAGCCACCCGAATTAGAACACCTAATATCAGATCAGCCCTGCGGGCGGTCAAGGCTCCAACAACTTGGCCAGGTCCATGTGTGCTTGGTGGCCTGCCCTCCGTGCTCACAAAGAAGGTCTTCACCACCGTTGTTGCCAGAGCGGCACGCCTGAAATATCCAGCTTGGCAGGGGCATGGAAGCTTATTGGTCTTGGAGTGTAAGTGGAAAAGCTATGACAGCATGGTGGGAAAGCAAGATGTGCATCCAGCCTGACGTTGTTTGTTTGGTCGCAGCTAGCTGGTTGGTTTTGAGCAGTGTTTGAATTGGATGAAAGTGAATTTGGAAGAGGGTCTGAGTTTGATTTGATAGCCTGTGACTGTGGAAGATTGATGAGTGTACGGATTTCAACTTAAAGCCACAATCTCCCTCTCTCTCCCTCTCTTTGTCTCTCTCTCTCTCTCTCTCTCTTTCTGTCTTTCTGTGCCTCTCTTGCTTTCCTTGTGCTTTGTTTCCCTTTCATTCCCCCTGCACTCCCCTTGTTTTCATTTCTGTCCCTTGCACGTCCCTTTCAGTTCCCCTTTGTTTCCCTTTCATTTCCCGCAGCTTTCCTGTCATGTCGACTTCCTATTTCCTCCCCTCATTTCCTTGCACTTCCTTGCATTTCCTCTTTGCTCCCCAATATTTCCCGCAAAAAAACACTGTTTTCCAGCGTTTTCGCAATTAGGACGACCAAAAACTCGGAGTTTGTTCCAGATTTTCGGCAAAAGGAGGCAGGAACCCCAAACCAGCAAAGAGCCGGCAGGGGGAATCGAGCCTGGGACCCCTGTTTTCCAACACCGGCTCCCCGAAGACTACGTTTAGTGGAACGTCATCAAATTGCCGCGCGGTCCGTGGGGGGGGGGGGGCAGGGGGGGTTAGGGGGGTGGGGTTATCCTCTATCCTCTCTTAGGTGCCGACACGGCCGAGCAAAGTCGGCGGATTACCAGTGAAGTACATCCAGGACATATTCCTTTGCTGAGGCAACTTGCTTTGTGGTGAAAATATCCCACAGACACTTCACTGCGATCTTTGAGAAGTCTGCGGCTCAGTGCCGGCGTTTGAGTTTTGGCAGAGCATTAAGAACGCTGAAGCTGCAGCTAGCATAGTGGACATAGCTCACACAGGCAGCACAGGTTCGCTGCGCAGTTTGAGCTGGAAGAGATGCCTGGAATTGCTAGCTGCAGCGGGGAGAGTGAGACCATTCCCACTTGCCCCATAAAGCCGCCCTAAAGCGAATCCAAGGGGTCCCCCTGTCTCTTCAAAGGTATCAGGACGACAGGAAGAAGCTCTTCGCATCGGCGAACCGTGTTGGCCCGTCACGTCATTCGGGGAGTCGCAGCATTGGCACATGGTGCTTTGCATCCAGCGTGTTAATGTGTTCTCAAATGCATTATGTCGGGCTTTCTCTACCACCAAGCCCCTTCACGACGGATCGGCCAGATGGGGATGAGACATGATGAGACCACGGGCCAGGCTTTCAGCCAGATGTGCGACGACTTTCAGCAGAACGCGTGGATTGCAGAGGCTGGACTGCCCCAGTGCTGGGGCTTCGGGAGGAGATGAAAGGAAAAATATGGCCCATCCATGGGTATTTTCCACAGGCCATGCGGCAGCAACTGGCAGCGATGCCTTGCCTACATGGCGCCTCGCACGGGTCGGTCCTGTCATGCCTTACTGGGTGGGATTCGGTCGCTTTCTTTTCTGGTCACAAAGGGAGGAGTGTGACATCAGCCTGAAGGGCAACTATTTGTAGGCCAACATGTGCAAGCGTCATTTTGCTGTTCCTCAGCCTGGAGATGCAGTCACAGATCCTCTCGATGCCAGGTTCCTTGTTGCGTTGGCAGAAGCTGTGGAGCCACGGCTACTGCTGCCAGCACAGGAGAATCCAACTTTCTTCAAGTGCTTGTATCAGACACAACCGTGTTCTGGCTGCGTAGTTACGCCTTGCTGTGTGTTTGGCTTGAGCCTTCAAACCAATGAAGATTGCTAAGAGGCTGTATCACACGAGTCATTGCAGGAGATTTTTCTCTCCAGCAGCAGCAAGGCTGGATGCGACGTTGATGTCTTTGCCGCAATTTCCTGGTGCCGTGGCCGTACTGGCTAAGAAAGATGCATGAAGATATATTGGCATTTTGTAGTGCTAAGTTTGTGGCTTGTTGTGTTTGTGTGTATGTGCGTGTTGGCAGCAGGAACATGTCTCACTGTGTGTCAATGCAGGAGAATGGCACTGATTTGTATTTTGTGTTCGAAGGACTATGGCATCACTTGTGCCGCTTTTGAAACAATGATCACTGTGGCTTGTGCTTTGAGGACACTTTCACTGCCTGCAAAAGGGGGCTGGCTGCTCAGTTGATGATGCATTGCAGCAAAAGTGTTTTTGCAAGTGAGGCTGTGGTCGGCACGATCTCACCGAAGGCATGTGCATGGGCGCAAAGCATGAAATAGAGTGTCTGGGTTGCTTTGCATACCATGGCATGACGCGCATTCTATTGGCAATATGCAGCCCTTGGGAATAAAGTGGCTCCAAAGATGAGCAGGAAAGGACTCCCAGCCACTGCTAGTGTATGCCAGTGTAGAAAGTTGGAAAAGTGATGCGTCATGAGTCAACATGTATCTCTGGCAGGAGAGATATTGCTTTCGTTGCGAGGTTTGCAAAACATGTATGCATCAAATCGAACACCGCAGATGCTCTTCGGCATCCTCGAGGTTTTCGGCATTACCGACATCTCCGGCAACATGAGGATTCGCTCCGATGAGATTTGCAAGGCGATAGAATGCCGCATTTGTTGTTGCGTTGACAACGTGCACATAGGCACATAGGCGTGTTTTTTTTTTTTCAGACGGTTCTTTTCTTCCAGGTGGGCGTGCTCACCAAAGTGAAGCTGGCCAACTTGCTTCGGGATTTCCCCGAGGCGCACGGGCCATCAGAGAGAGACAACCTAGGGAGTCCACAGTCCCGCACTGAAACCCAGTCTCGCATGCAGGAAAGAGGCAAGTTCGAAAAGTTGGTCCACAATCTGATGGAAGACAGTGTGAATCATCATTTGGCCATGCTCCAAGATATCCAGAACAAGAATTGCAACCATCGGACAAATTGGACGAGCTTTTCTCTCAGGTCAACCTTCCCTTCTTCTCGGGCTTGAGCAATCAGCAGATTCTCACCGTCAGAGCCCCAGTCGGTTCCGATGGCTCCCAATGGATGAATTGGGAGTACATCGATCGATAGTTTTCAAAGAGACGCAGTTTTTGTTCCGCCCAACACAAGCAACTTGACTGAAGGAGTGATAAAACTAGGGTGCAAATGCAAGATATGAGTGTCATTGTTCAGAAGTAGCAGTAGCGTCCTGTGCATTCTGAACCCCGAGAGAAGTCGAGCTCGAACTGCACTTCTCCCCGCCCCCACACACACACACACACACACACACACACATACACACACACACACACACACACACACACACACACACACACACACACACACAAAAAGAAAGAAAGAAGAAAACGCACAGGAACTCAACCTCACACTCAGCAACTCGGACTGTTACTCGATCGCGCTCAGCAACCCCAGGCGGAACTCGAACTGGAACGCAACTCGAACTCGAATTGCAACCTCCCCCTCTAAAAAAAAAAAACGGTGCACAGGAACTCGACCTCGACCTCGCACTCAGCAACTCGAACCAGAAGTGGCCTCCCCCCAACTCCAGAACCACTAGCAGGAGGAGCTCAAGCTCGAAGTACAGCTTGCACTCGAACAACCTCCCCCCATGCACTTCAGAACTCGAATTTGCCAGGCACTCCAGACCAGCAACAGGAGCTCGACGTCGAACGCGAACCAACCTCCTCACCCCCCCAAAGAAAGAGCAAAACTCAAAGTCGAACTGCAACCTCGGAAATGCGCAAACGAGGTCCTGGCTGTCAGGGTTTGGACGACCGACTTGACAAGCGAACTGCCGGCAATCGAACTAGAACTCGAACAGGGTGCTCAGCCATTCGGGGGTACACTCTGTTCTCACACGAATGGCTACTAGGGGAATCCTTTTGCCAGTGCATTACTTGGCTGTTTCATGTGTAACAGGGTGAAGCTCTTGCAGAGAAGGCTTGTGAGCAACTTGGCAAAACAGAGCCAGGAAGCCTGACCGCGGACATGATGTTTGTTTGCTTATGTGACTCGTGTGACCAAAGAACCACGCTGACGCAGCCTGCATTCTCTTCATCAAAATTTTGTACTATTGCATTCATGCTCCATACACGTCTATTTTGTGTGAAACTTAAACCCACAAGGCTTCCGAAAGCATTTATCCATTTATCACCGAAGCTCAGAACAGTTTGATTGCATTGCAGGTGTGCCACCTCCTGGACAGGCGGTTCCTGCTGCCAGATGTCACGGTGGTTCGAGAAGGATCCAAATTGTTTGAAGTTGCCTCAGGCAAGCAGGAGCTGTGTCTTTTTAAGCTGCAGCAACAGCCGCTTCCTGGTTGAGTATTGGACAGCCAGATTGCATTAAAGCAGACGGACGAAAGCTGTGAAGAACCATCGTGGTGGTTCAAATGCGTGGGGGAGCACGGTTCACTGTGCCTACCTTGGAAGTGAAAGGAGACGGCGGGGACTTCATGGTTGTTCTCAACTGTGGAAAGGCACGGATGGGACCATTACAGATGGTCCCTGAATGCAATGATGTCAGAGTCAAGAAGACCAATGCCAAGTCTACAGAATGACAGGCGCAGATCTTTCACAAGGGCTCCAAGATGGGAATGCTGCTGGCTGGGAAGGTTCGATGCCAAGACAAGGCTTAGCCAGCAAAGGGAAGTGACAGCGTGTGCAAACTTGTCCAGCCAGATGCTCTGAGAGTGTCTCAAACCCTGCTGCCTTTCTTTGGCCAAGGCAATGGGTGTGAGCCAGATGATGGGCGTGCACCCAAGATACCATGCCACCCTGAAGACCATCAGGACAGACCACTTGAACCCTAATTGGCATGTTTCTTCCAGAGGCACCAAGCTAGTTTCGAGAGTTGTGGCCGATTGCCCAACCTTAGCTGGCAGTACCTGCCACTTGCTCCTGATCTACTGGCACATGGTGAGTGGATTGGCACCAAGCTCAGCCCGGATGAATGAGAGCATCCTTAGCTTACCAGATCAACTCGACCCCCCTTCAATTGCAGACACACTTGATGCCACTTGATGCCATGCCATGGAGCGTAACAGATGTTCAAGTGAAAAAGGGTGCGGGGCGCAAATCGATGCAAGTTGAAAAATGGCAACTGACTGTGCTCCTTTGCCTCTCAGATCATCTCAGCTGCCGACCTTGTGTGGGTGGAAGCAATGAGGCGGCATGCGCAGGCCACTGGAGGGCGCGTCGAAAGCAAGTGCAAACTAGGCATAACTAGGTATTGTAGCATCAGCTCCAGAACAAGATACTTTAGAGCCTCCGGCTCACTCCGGCCTCTCCCGTTTCTCCTTTTTCATCTCGCGTTTCTCTCCTTCCCTCTTTTTTCCCCTCCTCTCTCTCTCTCTCTCTCTTTCGCTCAATTCCCCCTTCAGTTCCCTGTCATTTTCTCGGTATGTTTGCTTCATTTTCCATTTATGTCCCCTTCATTGCCAGTCATTTCCCGACATCTCCCTTCCGTGTCCTTTGCACTTCCTTTCCCCTTCATTTCCCTTTTCGTTTTTAACGTGTTTGCAAAAAGCATGTCAAACAACACCGAGTTTTTCCGGGTTTTCGGCAAAAGGAGGCGGGAAACCCGAACCGGCAAAGAGCCGGTAGGGGTATTCGAGCCTGGCACCCCCTGTTTTGCCAGACAAGCTCCCCTTGTTAGCAGAACATCATCAAATTGCCGCGCAGCACGCGCCCCCCCCCCTCCAAACCCTATGTATCAGAAGTGGGTGGGGAGGGGGGCTTATCCTCTATCCTCTCTTAGGTGCCCGGCACGCTGAGCAACGCCGGCGGATTTGATGCAGCTCAAGCAGGCAATGTGGCAACAACAAACAAAGTCTCCGAGACCTGTCACAAGAATCCGGTCACGTTCACCAGCGGCTGGCACGCGTGGCGTTTTGTGACTGCGCTGACTGTTATGACTGTGCTTCGTCTTGCCATGCAATCAGTTTGTGGGCGGCTTGTGAGCCTGTGGCAGGAGATCGAAGAATTGGAGCTTGCCGCTTTTTCGCGGAAGCTGCATTCTCTGAACAGCCGCTCTAGGCACCGTGGCCAGAGGCTGCGGCCACCAAACTTGACGGAGTGCTTAACTGAATGGGACAGAACAAGCCGTGGCTCACGTGTGCTGTTTGCTTCGCACGGTGTCGCTTCAGCAAACTGTTTGACAACTTGGAACCATGTTGTTCATCTCCAGCATCCAAGGCGCACACTGGCGGATACTTTGGATATTGCCTCCAGCCCTTGGAGTCTGCAAGACGTTTTCCTGCAGTGGCATGCCGTGACTTGACAAAATAGCCAGGAAGATGCCGATCTCCGCGTGCTTGGCCATTTAATTTGCAAATTGGGATAGCATCGAACCATTCTAATGCATTGAAGAGTTGTTGAGAGGTAGTGGTGTTGGCAGTAGAAAAGACATTGGCACATAATCGGTCTCCCTTGCATACATGATTGCTTGCTTTCCGACTTTCCAGCTTGCCGAAATGTGCCTGATTTCCAAGTTCCTCCTGCTATCAGCGCATCAGGGTAGTACGCTCAGGGATAGGCATTTTGCTGCTGCTGCGTCTTCTGCTGCTGTTGCCATGTTCCTTGCCACAAGCCGCCGTCGGCAAACGCCTCAAACAATTACCCGCATGCGTTGAATGACAAAGCGCGCAGCCCTTGGTCCTTGCTCACCACGCCTCATGAACGTAGTATGCATGGTCGGGCCACAAAACACCTTGCTTCCTGCAGCTTTTCCTCGCCGTGCTGGGCTCCTGTACTTATTCAGTTGCGTTCCTTGTGACATCTTATTTGTCCAAATTGTATCTTGAAACGTGGGAAAGAGGTTTGTTGTGTAAATGGATATCAATGGAAAACATGTAGATAATGAAACAGTACAAATTTGCAAATTATTACTTGTACACCTTGGCCTCGGCAACTGTGAACAGATAGTGGTTGGTTGCTGGGTCCAGTGTTGTGTTGCATTTGCCCTTCCTGTTTAGTAGTGGCGTTGCATTGACTCTATATGGTTAGGTTTGCAGCTGCTCGACGATTTGAAATTATCTCTCTGATTACCACACATGAAAATGCTGTTTGCAAGGAGGCCCCAAGAGAAGCACAATACTATCTTACATCCATGCGGAGTATTGGCATTTAGTAACGACTTGATATCGCCAACTAAGTGTAGCCACAAAGTAATCATAATTTGGTGTTAATGGTAGTTTGCGTAGATTCAGCACGCAGATTGGCTTGAATGGTGGCTTGTTGTGTATGGGGCACGGAAACAGGGCACCTTTGTTCTGAATCTTCAGTACATTCCTGAGTTCGAGCCACCTTACTCCAATGATCAGCTGGATTGATTCTCCGAGACAACAATTCTACGAATGAAAATAGTATTCAAACTTATCCTCTCAGAATGCCTAGACCCGTGCAGGTTTCAAGCCGAAATGAG